AAAATATGTTATGTTTATATATTAAATATATTTATATATAATATAAAATATAAGAATATAAATATATAAATGTATATACATGTAAATATTTTCTAAATATATACTGTATGTGTGTGCATTTATATATACATAATAAATGTACACAGTAGACACACATATATTATGTAAACAAAAACTTTTATTTTGGATGCGATTAATCGCAATTAATCATTTGACAGCACTAAAATGTACTCACTCTCAGGCTATACAAAAAGTAGATGAGTTTGTTTCTTCATTGGAACAGGTTTGGAGAAATTTTGCAAAACATCACTTGCTCACCAATGGATCCTCTGCAGTGAATGGGTGCCGTCAGATTGAGTGTTTAAACAGCTGATAAAAAAAACAAAAAAAAAACACAATAATACACAAGTAATTCACACGACTCCAGTCCATTAATTAATGTCTAGTAAAGTGAAAATTTGCGTGTTTGTAAGTTTGTTCCAGGTTTTTCCCATAATACTTCTTTCTCCAGCGAATAATCATCTCATCTGAATGGAGAAATATGCATAGATCAAACACCATTTACAAGTGAAAACAGTCCAAAACAGTTATAGACAAATATGTCGGTAGATTTTGATGTGAGAGAACAACAGCAGATAGAATCTTTCACTGGAGTAAGCGTTATTATGCATTATGAGCTGGTATTTTTGCTAGAATCAACGGTTTAAAATTAAAACACCTTAATAATTGATTTTTATTATTATTTTACAATCATGTAGTTTTTTTAAATTCACAATATGCTAATTGATGGACTAGAGTCATGGATTAGTTGTGGATTATTGTCTTGTTTTTGTCATTTGTTTGGACTCTCATTCTGACGGCACCCATTCACTGCAGAGCATTCATTGGTGAGCAAGTGATGTAAAGCTACATTTCTCAAAATCTTTTCTGACAAAGAAAAAACTCATCTACATCTTGGATGGCCCGAGGGTGAGTAAATGTTCAGCTAATTTTCATTTTTTGGGTGAACTATTCCTTTAAGGAAGTAAATTAGGTTCATTTTGACTATCGAGGGTCTCAACTGGAACAAAACGTACCTGACTGACAGGGTCTCTGAGGATTCAACACATTCCCAGATGCTACAAAAAAAACCCCTTGGCCTAGAAATTGTGATTCATTGTGTGGTGCTGTCCATCCAGCTTTGGCCTCACCTGAAAAACAGCCTTCATTTAGTCAGTCCAACTTCCAATACCTTCATAACTGTGTCTGGAGTCAAACATTGGGGATGTGTGTGTGTGTGTGTGTGTGTATGAGAGAGAAAAGGAGATCCAGCAGAGATGGTATGTTTGTGTTTGCCATGTTTTCAGACCACCAGTGCACAGAGAATGTTCATCTGGCATGGAGAGGAGTTCTCATGGCTGGCAACTTTATAAATGTGTGTATGTGTGTGTGAAGCGGGTTTTAGCCTGAAAGTGAAGAGGCATTTTCACTGCTCTCCATAACTACTGGAGCGACACTGCATAGTCTGACGGATACATTTTAAATGGTGAGGAGAATGAGGGAGGGGAAAGAGATATAAAAGAGAGAGAGAGGCTACGCTTTAGGATGGAAACATGCTTTCAAACGCTCTCATTCTTTGCAGTTCTCTCTCGATTCTTTTTCCCAATTCTCTATAGCAAAAAGGGTTTTCATGAAACTATTCCTAATCTACAACTCAATGTCATAAAAAAACCATATGCTATTATTTAAAATACATTTATTTCATACTAGATATAATTTAAATATATTTATTGACATGTCACTTAAGACTAACTGACATAAAATTATAATTAAAATTTATTTGGAGTATTTCTTTATTGTACAATGCACATTTCTTAATATTATGCCTACCATGTGTTTTTTAATATCACTAACAAGGATTGTATGATCTCTGTATAATCTTTAAATGGAAGATATTTGAAGTGTCCCTGAAGTACACATGGAATAGTTCCACTTTAGCACAATCGAAAGTATATCTTTAGTTGGACTTCATCTCTACTTCTGCACAATTAAAGTACATTAAGCACAAAATTAGTTTTTCCAATTTAGCAGACTTTAGAATGCAGTACCAGTTTAGTATACCAAAAGCACAATTGCAGGGTTTTTTTATTAAGCACATAAATATGTAAATGTATTTGTAGTATACTTGGCACAAAATAAATGTATTTCAAATACATTTTAGTATTTTTTTTTCACTAGGGAATGTAACAAATGCTGTCAATTTAACTCATTTAGTAAAATAACTTCTAAACAAAAACAAGTATTAAAATGCATCTTGAGAACATTTTAAAAATGGCACAAGGACTGAAACATTTGAGACACGATGTAACAGCTAAAGACTGATCTGATATTGTATTTATTTTTGATTCAATTGATCATATAAATGTAGTACAATTAATTCAATAAAAAGCGTATTTTTATGCATCTTAAAAACTATTTAAAAACGCAGCTCTTATTGCCAAAGAGTGGTCTGAAATTCTGATTATTTGAGATTCAATTGAACTCGTAAATGTAGTAAAATTAATTCTAAATAATAAAAATAATAATTAAAAAAAGGGAACATTTTAAAACATTTTATAAAAATGCTGCACTTTAAAAATTTAAAAATAGCTAGATGTGATCTGATTTGATTATATGTGGAGCAATTTAAATAATTGTAGTAAAATAAATTCTAAATGGAAAAGGCATTTAAAAGTTTTAAAAACACCTTTTAAACATCTTTAAAAACACTGCATTTACGGCACAGGACTGAAAAATAGCGAAACACGATGTAACGTAGAAAAACAGTTAAAAGAAATAGCGCAGACAAAATGTATGCGATTTGACTGAACAAGGCCGGAAATAGACCGGATTTGTAGGCTTTTATATAAAATATCATGTGATTATTTCTGATTAATTAATTGCCATGTAGTTAATTCGTTACATGCATTTAATTATGCCCTAGTATTAAGACAATAATAGGACACAGTCAGAAGTGGCTTAGGGTTTGAATTGTTTATTCTTTAAAGCAGATCAGGGGATCAGGCCTGACCTTTTTGTGTGAACGACGAGACAAAAAAACGGTAATGAATATCACACGCAAAAACACAATGAACAGCTGGAGGATGTGACTAGTGCAATGGGAAGTGTGATGGAGGATTGTGGTGGGTTAGCAGGGTGGATCACAGGATAAATGACGCTACGCAACCAGACCGACCAAATCTAGAACCAACTCAGAGTTCTGGGATTCTGTTGTGGTTGGGTCTAGATTGGCCTAGTGTGGCCAATATTTGGTGTCTAGTTCGGTTCTCTTCACTGTGTGCTATCCATTGTGTGCTATTCTGGTTCAGGTGCTCAGAACCTTAGAGTTCCACCTACTGTATGATCGCCGCTGCTTACTGATTCTGTCCATTTCAGAAATGGATACCAGTTTCCCCTTTACTGGATAAAGGTGAAATAACAGGAAGGAGGTAGAAAGGTAAAAGTGATGGGAAAGGGTATAGGAAAAAAGGAAGGTTCAAGGGTATCTAGCTCTCAGTTCACTGCAGATTCTGCTTCAGGTCTGCTCAGGTGTGTCTCTGGGTGGCGTCTTTCCTTGGCAACAGTCGATAAACGGTGAGATCACAGATACAAACTTCCACTCTTCCTGCTCAGAGACTTAACCTCCAGTCCTCAACTTGTCCTAGACAAAGACAAAAAGACAGAGTGTGTGTCAGGAAAAAAGCAAGAGATGCAGTGGCACGTTTCCACGGCATTTGCATGCAAATTCACAAGGAGAAAGAGAGAGTTCAAAGGAAAAAGGAGTGAATGTGAGTATGTGAGAATGTGTGCATATTCTTGAGAGATGAACCACACGGCAAACCACGGTGGAAGCAAAAAGCCCCAACACAACCAAACGTAAACATGTGGCTCTTTCTTCCCGTCAATACGCATCTCTCACAGGCTACTGCACCCGATAACAGGAAATAAGAATCCCTAGAGTGAGAGAAGGAGAGAGAGCATGGAAGAGAAGGAGAGGAGAAGATAGACGGGCGTCACGGTCTGTCGTCAAGACTATAAAAAAGGAAGAAGCCATAGAGACGTTTTGAGAGAAAACAACTGATCTGTCCTTATTTGAACTCTCATTAATTGCAGCAGCAACCGTTTTATATAATCATACATTTTTCCAGAAAAATTGGATATTTGGCATTTATTAAGAAAGTAAATGAGGACTTTTTGTTCACGCTGTTCTTTTCCATACAATAAAAGTAGATGGTGACCAACTTTCAAGCTGAAAAATACATCATAAAAGTCCATGACATACTATAAAAACAGTCCATATGAATAGTGTGCTATATGCCAAATCTTCTGAAGTCATATGAGTAATTTATGTGAGAAACACATGCAAATGCAAAAATCTCTTTAATCTTATTTATGGCACATATAGACATGCAAAGCACCAAATTTGAAGATGTGCATATATAAATAATTTTTTGTTATTATTAGCAAAACTAAAACTATTAAAAATCTATTTCAATAAATGAAATAAAGTTGAAATAAAATTAATTACATATATTAGATGAAAACCTAAATTAAATTAAAACTTAATTTAAAAATGTTGCCTTGCCAAATAAATTATATAAATTATTATTAAACTTGAAGTATTAAAATTACTAAAAAATAAAGACAGAAAGCTTTTAAAGCTAAATAGAAATATAAAAAATGGTAACACTTTAGTATAGGGACCAACTGCTTATTAGCATGCCTATTATTAAAATATTATTATTAGTAATTATAAAGCACATAATCTGCATGACCATATTATACATCCCTAATCTTACCCAATACCTAAACTTAATACCTTACTAACTATTAATAAGCAGCAAATTAGGAGTTTATTAAGGCAAATGAAAAAATTGCATAACAAATACTAAAACTAAAATGAAAACGAAAATTGAAAAGGCAAAAAAACAAACAAACAAAAAACCCTAATAAAATGATAATAAATACTCTAATAGTACAAAATAATAATAATAATAAAAAACCTTGGTCACCACTTACTTTTATTGTATTAAAAACAGCAGAGTAAATCATCTCTTTTTGTGATCAGAAGATATACAATATAGGCGTAAATAAATCTTTAAGGCACTGCAATAAGGCAATGCATTTCTGTATCTCTCTCACGCACTCACTGTTTATTTTGAGCATGATTTCATAATGCTAAAAATATGCAAAAAGTTCTAGACTAGAGAAAACCACTCAAACAGGTGGTGGCATTTGTCCCAAACCTCTGAAGGACACAAGTTTGAGCCAGTGAAAAATATGCCTTGGCACAAACAGATGCTGGAGTCACAAACTCTTCCACTCTTTCCGATAGAGTGGACAACAGTTGAGAGGAGAGGAGAGAAGAGAAGAGAGCGTATTCACGACATGGCGGCGGCGGCAACAATACTACAGTGAGAATAAAAGTTACGCCTTCTTTCTTTGCGTGAAGATGTGGGAAGAGTTGCATAACGCCGCCCAAATAGTGACGTAGACATGTGGGGGCGTGTTAGAACGAGCTGTTTTAGGTAGGCGTGGCTGACTTTTAACTTTTATAAAGAATATCTCTTTGGATTTGAGACTTTAGTCTTTGCAACTTTACAGATCTTCTTTATGCACCAAGAGCTTGTAACACTCCAAAGAGAAAGGGAAAATTTAAATCACATCATATGACCCCTTTAATGAATTGGTCACACTAAATTTGTCAGAGCAGTTACTCAAGTAGTTATGGAAGCCCGTTTCCACTACTGAAAAAAAAAAAAAAAATACTTTTTATCTCACAATTTTGATTTTTTTTTACTTGCAATTCTGACTATTTCACAATTCTGACTTTTTTCTCGCAATTGCGAGATTCTGACTTTTTACTCCGAATTGTGTGATACAAACTCACATTTGCAAGAGAAAAAAGTCAGAATTGCAAGATGTAAACTCGCATTTGCAAGAAAAAAGTCAGAATTGCGAGATGTAAAAGTCAGAAAAAAGTCAGAATTGCGAGATGTAAAAGTCAGAAAAAAGTCAGAATGGTGAGATAAAAAATTCACAATTACCTTTTTTATGTTTTTATTCAGTGGCGGAAATGGGCTTCCACAAGTAACTGACTAATACATTCAAAAAAGTGTTTTGCTGAAGTAAATGGTAGCTGTACAGCAAACCATAGCTCTTCATATATTCAAAATACACATATTTTGCTTGGCTGCACAGCCCTCCATCCCTTTCTCTCACATATACACAAATCGCATAAGCAGTTTAGCTATTTTGTTATCTGGCTGTTGTTTTGTGGTCTTCCTGTGTGACTAATAAAAGTTTATTACACAGGTAACCTCTGTTCCTCACAGCCGAGTCAATAAAATCATAAAATACCTCATGCCATTATTGGAATCCATATTAAATTTACCAAACAGCAATACTAAGAACAGGCCTGCGCACAAGAACATGCATATACGCAAACACAAAAACACGAAAACATTAGAGATGCTAAAGAAGTTACAGGTAAATTTGGCGCATACACAACAATGAATAAAACATCTCTTTATTTACATGATGTATTGCTTAAGTGCGGCAGAATTCACAGCGCTGCTTTAAACTAATACCCCAGAGGGCAACACTCTTTCGCTCTCGCTCCCCAAACTGTGCTGTTGTAAAAATCTAATGGAAAGACCCATCTGAATATAAATTGTGTTTGCATGGAATTGCTGGAGTGTGCGGAGGAGATTTTCGGAGAGGGTCGGTCCAATGCTGCTTATTTCCATCCTTGCATTACGGAATCCGGACCAGGGATGCTGCGACGGGGGATTGTGGGACGACGCTATTTAAATGACACGTCCCTGTTCCCACTTACTTCATTTAACACACACTTAGGCCTGCACCAAAAACAGCAGCTGTCAGCTGGTATTATGGTAATGAGTCTTTCGTCTGAGCCTACAATTTAGAGCGAACTTAGTGGCGCCTGTAGCCAAACGGAAAGTGAGAGAACACTGGGCAGAAGTTTGGATTTGCAAATGGAGGTGCAGGTCAGGCAGAGAGTGTGTTATTACAGGGCTTGGAGAGAACGGCAAGGCTGTTTCACTGGATCTTAATGCTGTGGGCTAAAGAGCAGCTGTAGATGCTAATTTGTACGCTGGGGTTGCTGGGAACTGGTAGAACATACAAAACAGAAGACGCACACACTAGAATGTGTCTTAATACATACTACTAGCATCATGTGCAAACGCGGCAAAAGTTTTTGACTTACATGAGTGAAGATTTAATTCAATTCTTCTACAACCTATTTTACATTTATATTAAAACATTAACATTTCATATTATGTTGAAACATTTAATTTCATATCGCCTGAGAGAGAAAGAGAGAACAAAAAAGTAAAAGAGGGGAAGAAGGAGAGAGTAAAAACAGTCAGAGGGCAGATATATTTCACAAATGAATGTGGTCATCCATCATAATTACATTTTCCATTTTTAATAAACTGATCCTGTGGCAGTGACAAAGAGCTGTTAAATTATATTCTTGCTTTGTTTTCACAAGTAAACATCAGATCAATCACTAATCAATAGCGGAATTGATTGGTGCAGAATTAGTTTGCAGCATAATTGCACGTTGAATCACAGTGCTGGAGGTCTAACGAGGTGCCGCTTCAAGACATACATCAGCTGTAGAGGCCGCAGACATCCTGAACCACACATATTCAACCTAAATCAACATATGCCATAGGTATTTAAGCTGGTTACGGTTACTAACCTAAACTCAAACCTAAATGAACGTTTTGGCATTTTTACAACAGGCCTAAATAAAAACTAATGTATTAATCATCCAGTGGCAAGATGCTCCCTTACTGACACACACACACACACACACCTGCGTCTAAACCCACCAGCTGTACCATGTGTCTGAGCCCAACAGTCTGCACCGATAAATCCGATAAATATATTGTCTGATGTTAGATAGCAATTTACTTTTTTTTTTACAAAAAATGTTCTCCTTAAATGTTTGAATGACTCCAAATCTATCTATCTATCTATCTATCTATCTATCTATCCTTTCTTTATTTTTCTTATCCCTCATTTCACAATGGAAGGATTGCTATGGATTATCAGGGGGGAAAAATGAAACATGGCTATGACAACTTTGTCTTGCAACAATGACAATGAAAATATACATTAGAGACTAACAATTTGTAATAAT